CTAGTCAGCAGACAGCTTGGGAGAATATAAACAAGGAGAAGGAACTCCGGTGCTCCTGGGAGGACAAAAGCAGCTTGGCACAGAGTAGGTGCTCAAGAAACATGTCAGGAATTGAACTGAATCATCCCTACCCCACTATGGAGCAGACACACTTTCCTGGAGACCTAGAGCCATCCGATTAATTAGATAGGGTCTCTCTTCCTTGACGAGCCCCAGAGAAAGAGATTCTCCCTTTCTTCCTTCCTTCCTTCCTTCCTTCCTTCCTTCCTTCCTTCCTTCCTTCCTAATTCAAAACTAAATCACTAGTCAGCAGACAGCTTGGGAGAATATAAACAAGGAGAAGGAACTCCGGTGCTCCTGGGAGGACAAAAGCAGCTTTGGCACAGAGTAGGTGCTCAAGAAGCATGTCAGGAATTGAACTGAACCAACCCTACCCCACTATGGAGCAGACACACTTTCCTGGAGACCTAGAGCCATCAGATTAATTAGATAGGGTCTCTCTTCCTTGGCGAGCCCCAGAGAAAGAGATTCCCCCTTTCTTCCTTCCTTCCTTTCTTTCTTTCTTTCTTTCTTTCTTTCTTTCTTTCTTTCTTTCTTTCTTTCTTTCTTTCTTTCTTTCTTTCTTTCTTTCTTTCTTCTTTCTATCTTCAACTCTCATTATCAGAATCTGCTTGCTGAGGAATTTTTAAAAACTGAGAAATTTAAAAATATTTTGGTTTGGGCAAACTTTACATCGAGATCCAAAGTTTCAGCCCCTTGGGAAGGATTAGAACACGTGGCAATTAAGGGCCCACATTCCCACTTGGCCTTGGACTGGGGAGCAGCTGATCCATGGAGGGAGAACTTGCTCTCCAGGTCGCTATGGTCAGTCTGTCCTCTATGAGCTTACATGTGACCTGCTTCACACAGGTACATTGCCTGCCTCCCACAGGAGTAAGCCTGACTCTGCTGTTCCCGCATTACTGTGGCCTGGCTGCTGATCAATTTGTGAGGATGTACCTTCTTTCATTACTTTCCTGCCACATTCTGCACATTGAGGTTAAACTTGGGTGTATCCTAGGCCACCATCCGCAAACACATGCAAAACATCTCTTACAGTGAGTCACTGAGACATATTCTTTATTGATCTTACAGTTTCATTTTCGAAAGGGGCTTTTCTGTTTCTAAATTTGTGACACTTTATATACTGACAACTTCCCAGTTTTTCTAAGAGAGTTAGTGGCTCTGGGCTCATAAAGAATTTTGCCAATAGGTCATGAGGGTGAGCTTAAACCAATTTTATTTCATACATGAGGCATGGTAAGGATCAACACATGTTAATAGCTGACTTTATAGAGTACTTACTGGGTGTCAAGTACTGGACTAAGTAATCCCATTTGGTCCTCACACAGCCTTTGGAGTTGGCACCTCTATTTTCCATTTGATGGATGAAGAAACTGAGGCACAGAAAGCTAGAGGGCAAAGCAACCAGAGTCCAGACCTAGGCACCTTGAGTCTGAGCCTATCTTCTTAACCACCTCTTGACAGCTGCCTCTACTGCAAAGACCTCTCACAAGGGTCAGGAGTTTCACAAACAGTGCCTGAAGTCCAAAGCAACCTGAGGACCTCAAACAGCAACCTGAGGATTGTGTGTGTGTGTGTGATGACACATTAAAGTCACCTGAGGAGCCTGAAAGCATCCCCAAGCATGAGGCAAATACCATAATGGGTTAACATCCGGGGACTTTTGCACTATTCTTGCAGTGTTTCTGTACATCTGAAATTACATCGAAAGAAAAAAAGAGTGTATTAGAATATTAGTTGACCTGGAGGCATCTCTACAGGAATTGTCGATAGCAGAAAGTGTTAACAGGAACTGTTAATAGCAAGATCCAGAAAAGTGTGTTTGTGTGTGTGTGTGTGATGGGATCCCATTTTTGTAAAAGAAACAAGTTACACACACACACACACACACCTCCACATCCTTATATGAGGGTGGAATAAAATATGTATGATACATTAAAAAAATGCTGGCGCCCAGTCCCCAGAGTTCTACTTTAATTGTTTAGAGGTAGTACCTGGGCCCAGGTATCTTCTTTTAAAGTTCTTTAGATCAGGGGTCTTGCTACACATTGGAATCACTTAGAAAGCTTTAAAAAGTCTTGATGCCCAGACCAACTCAATCAGGCTCCCTGGGAGTGGAACTCAGGCATGGGTATTTAAAAATTCCCCTAGAGAATGCCAATTGGTGTCAAGTTTGAGGCCGGGGCAAGGCCCTCCATGCAGCCAAGGTCTAGAATCACTTCTAGAAGGAAAGGGACCCCAGGTGTGTAACACTGCTAGGCGATGGGCATTTGGCATCTATTTCAATCCTTGGAACATTCCACGAGTTAGGAACCCCTGTCGAAATAGAGGCTGGCTCCAGAGATCAAATAGGCCGCCAGAAGTCACAGAGCTAGGAGAGGGTGAGGGACATCCTGACCCACCTCAAAATGCAAAGGAGGGTGATGAGAGCTGCTTTGAGAATGTGTCATTGCCTCCCAATCTCTCCTTCCCAGGATCACAGGAGTTGAAATTCCTCTGATAAAGATCCGTTCCTTTGGGTTCCTCCTTTCAGGAACTATTAAAAACAAAACAAAACATAAAAGCAAAAAATTCGAGAGGAATTATGTGTTAATTGGAACTTGATGTCTTTCCAGTGAGTGCTGGGAGTTCTACAGCAAGGAGAAAGAAGAATGTGCAAATCTGGGAAAGGATGTGATGTAAAAAAGGTATAAATCTGATCTCGACATTTTCCTGCTCAAAATCCCTCTATTCACCAGCCTCACCCCAGGCTTTATAAAAAATGCCAAATGTTGTCCCACCTCTGTACCTTTCTTGACTCAAGTGACTTTCCCAGGTTTCCTCCCAAGTGCGTTTTGGATGCTTCACTTTCTCATGAAAGAACAAGGGTCTGGGTCACAGTCCCCAGGCCAGTAGAAGTCCAAGGGAAGAGGAGACAAGAGAGGTGGGCTTTGCAAACACTGCTAAGGTTGGGTGTTCAGGGCATTTAAATTCAGGCACGTGGCAGAAAAGCTGAATAGTGTCCTTTGGGCTAAAGCCAGAGTCCCTTATGCCAAGAGGACTGGAGGTTAGGTAGACGAAGGGAGATCTCAGGCGTGGGAGTCAGAAAACCAAGGTTAAAGATCTGCCCGCCACCTTCCAAAAGTAAAATGAGGGCTAGTATGACAACCTCCTTCTCAAGGTTGTGGTGAGGATTAGAGATAATACATATAAAACACACCTATACTCAACACAGCAGGCCCTGGGCAGTGTCAGTGGGATAGTATGCCAACGTTATAGGCTTGTGATGTGTACTCTAAGACCAGGGCTGGAATGAGCCTTGACCTGGTCTCTACCTTTTTTAAGTTTAACTTCATTGTGGTAAGAACACAACATGAGATCTACCCTCTTAACACATTTTAAAGTGTAAACAACACAGTATGGTTAATTATAAGTACATGTTGTGCAGATCTCTAGAACTCGTCTTACATAATTGAAACTTCATGCCCACTGATCAGCAAGCCCGCGACTCCAGCCCCCGGCACCCCGCATTCTACTGTCTGATTCTATGAGTTCGACTATTTTAGATACTTTGCGTAAGTGGAATCATGCAGTATTTGTCCAGTGACTGGCTTATTTCACTTATCAAAATGTCCTCAAGTTTTACCCATGCTGTTGCATTTTGCAGGATTTCCTTCCTTTTTAAGGCTAATAATATCCCATTGTATGTATATACTGCATTTTCTTTATCTATTCATCTGTCATGAACATTTAGGTTGTTCCCACATCTTGGCTATTGTGAATAATGCTACAATAAATCTCTTTTTCTTCATTTATTGAGTGCTTATTGATTATATGCCAGTAACTGCTTTAAGTGTTTTACATATATTAATGCCGGTAAAACTCAGAACAGCCCTATGAAATTCATGCTGTCTTTATTCCCATTTACAGATGAGGAAACTGAGGCCCAGTTAGTATGGCCCAAGGCCATAAGTCCAATTAGGTTGAAAACAAGTTTGAACCCAGGCAGTCTAGCTCTAAAAACAGTGATCTTGAGCACTATAATATTAGTATTAGTATTTAACTCATAATAATAATGATTGAGAGCAAACTATGAGTCAGGCACTGTCATTGGCAAGGTGAAGATGAGACCTATGCATCCAAATGATCTTGGGTTCCTCAAGAGATCCATTCATTCCAGAGGTGACACTTCTCCTTATGATTTTGGGGAGAAGGGGTTGTTCTTAAGAGTTGGGTAGAGTGGCCCAGGGGAAAATGATCTTCTTTGATTTATGCAGTTTTTCAGGCCGTCAGTGGGCCTGAAAAACAACCGTCTATGCCACGAGCAGTCAGCAATAATGCTCTAATGCTTTATTTTACAATGGCAAGTCAATCTACTTTCCCAGCACCTTGTAACTTTATTGAACTCGGCATCCCGCTGCAGGGCAAGCCCCGAACTCTCCTGAAATGATATATTCTGCTTTCTGCAGTCGTTACTTGGCGTTGCAGTCTTGGTGTCACACACAGAGCCGGCCTCTTCTGAGAAGGCCGCAGTAGCAGCGGCTGCAGTTTTCCCGCCCTACTGAGCGCTCACTACAAGCTGGACGCTGCGCTAAGCCGGCCACCCGGAGTCTCCAGGAAGCAGCGGGTGCATCCTCAGTTCTGGGCGCCTGCAGCCATTGCAGGGTGGACGCTCGCCTAGTCGCGTGCTGACACGTCCTCTCCGCGCTGCGACCAGCGGCCAGGGGAGGAGAAGGTGCCCTGTGCGTGCTCGGAGAAGGAGGCTCCCGCGGGGCT